TCAGGAACTGTGATTTTGCTCCAGGAATTACAAGCAATTAGATTGAGCACATTCTTACCTACTTCTCTAAAAAGGCAATTCCTGTCAGGTTTGTCTCCATTGTTTTAAGTTAGGCACTTCCCAAAGGTTTAACCCATGGTCCTACTGAACTACTTCCAAGTGGGGGAGCAACCAGACCACTTAACTAACCCAGCATTGTTTGAGGCACCCTCAGGATGCCCCTGATGGCCCCTGTACCTTTCTCTTGGTGTTACAAAAGATGACAGCCTGGGTGATGGTCAGCGTGTCGTAGAGATCACACAAGGTGTCAAACTTCCACTCTTCCCTCTCCACAGCCACAAAAAACTGCTTGATTCCTTCGAGGGTCAACTCATCACTGTAGGGAAGAACACCACAAGCAGGTGAGCAGCAGTTACAAGGGCTGGGTGTGCCTCACCAGAGACCACCCCTCTGCCCCATGTGCTGTGGGTTGCTGGGTCCAGATGGAGTCTGAGTTGTTCTAGAAAGTCCTGAGAGAAAAACTCAGCTTTAAGAAAGGGCCTGAATGCGACCTGTTGAGCAGAGACTGGAACTGCTCTGCTCCAGCCAGGCAGCTCCAAAGGGGAACGTTTCTGTTCTCATCATTTTTATATTCCAGCATCTTGACAAGAGAGACTGAAGAAAATCTCAAGAAGCTCGAATGTACTAAGTGGGGCAGTGTAAGAGCTCAGGCAAGAGGGAGACTCTTCCCAAGTTCCAGTGTACAGGGACCTGTGACATCACCAGATGTAAACTAACAGGGTTTTTTTGTCTGCTATGTAATAGGAAATCATAACAGGAAGCCTAAAAAAATCCTCAGGGAGAGCCCAGGAATTGGTTAAGTGTGAAGGATAGATTTCCATGAGGAGAGACTGTTATCCACGGGGAGAATGAGTGGACAGCCAGGCTGAGCAGCAGCACACAGAACTGGACAAGAATAAAGGCAGGGAGATAAGATTCCAGCCCCTGCTGGAGAACAGGACATGAGCACATCTGCAGACACTCAGGAGTGGTGAGAAGGAACATGAGAGACTCTCTGGACATTAAAATCAGAGAACACTGTGAACTGCCCAGGGCTGGCCCAACTCAGAGCCCCTGTTCTCTCCAAGGAAACTCACTCACCGTTTCACCAGGATGCGGATGGGGTCTGTCATGAATTTGTTGGTCATTTCCAAGATTTCATGTGGCAAAGTGGCGCTGATCAGAACCACCTGTGTGGCTGGAGGCAGGTACCTGTACACATCATAAATCTGCTCCTTGAAGCCTGCAGTGCAAATCAAGCCACACAGAACAGTTAGCACATCCTTCTGCCAAATATCCTCCTCTTTCACAGTCTGATCTGGAATTCAGCACTGGGTCTATACTGTGGGATGAACATTTTTGTGAGAGTCAGTAACATCAGACAAGGCATGTTGTGTAGTTTAACCCAATACAGCCTATAACTAACTGTAATTGTCTATCTTTTTCAAAACTAACTTTTAGAAATAGGCCTGCTAGCCGGGACACCTTGGAATCTCAAAGAGGCAAGGAGAAAGCAAGTAAAAAGGGAGACAGATGTATTACCTTTATTGAGCATTTCATCTGCTTCATCCAAAACCAGCATTTTGATGGCACGAGTTCTTAGACTTCTGCGACGAATCATATCTGTAAGATTTCCCTTTGTGAGATGAGAATGCTCTGAAAACAAGTGAGCCCAAACCGCTGCCACCACTGTCAGGGCATTTTGGTGGAGGAGGGACAGATGTGAGAAATACAAAATGCCAGGTGAACTTTTTTGAGAATCAGCCCAGTTTGGCAGCTCCTAATTTTTAGGTTTTCATTTGTGTTTTTTCACTTGTGGGGACCAGCTCAGGTTCTCCTAGTGACAGGAGCTCATGTAAGGGCTGTGTGTTTCTCAGAGACCCAGAAGATGTGAGCCTGAAGGCCAACACTATCCCTGTGGTGAACTGCCACGAACAGTAAATGTTAAACTTTTCATGCAGTGAAACCAGAAGGTACCAGCTGCAAGTGCACCTGATTTAACAAAGATGGAGCAACCACCAGGACACAGAAAATGTGGGCCTAATTGTGGCATTCATGTAGGCCTGGCTCCTATCCCCTCGAAGATTCAGGGGCTGTAATCCTTTCTCCTTTTTCCAAAGCTACCACATAAAGAGTCATCTCAACAATGAAAAGTAAAATATAGACAGAGAAAATGAAACCACCACCACCATCGTTGATTTCCTCTAGTTTTTTCCAGGCACAACAGCAGTTGTTACCTTGTTACACTTCACCTTAATGTTACACTACCAGTGTTACAATAAATGCCACGATTTCCTTACCAAACACCCGGCCTGGAGTGCCGGCCACAACGTGCTGCCCGTAATCCAGTTTGCGGATATCCTCTCCCACGTTGGTGCCCCCGATGCAGGCGTGGCACTGGACGTTCATGTAGTCTCCCAGGGCGAGAAGCCCCTGTGTGGATACAAAGAAATGGATTAATTACCCCAGCTCTCCTCAGGCTGCATTTGTGGAGATGCGGGTCTGATGCTGAGGGCTTTTTAAAGAGATGTCAGCATGAGCAGTTAGAGGGACTTTTTTACCATCTGTTACCCAAACTGCCACAAGAGCAGGCCTAAAACACTGGGAACTCAGTTCCTCAGGGATCACAACTGCTTTAGAAGGGCTGCCCTTACAAATTCAGTTCAGGCTGTGCAAAACCTCAGACTGCCAAAGTAACGAACACACTGCCGAGCAGCAAGCCGCCCAGTATCAGATGACACTTTGTTATTACTCTCAGGAACAGAAAGAAAAAGTGGAAGCTATGCTTTGAGCTCTGCCAGAGAAACACCAGAGCCCTGGTCCCAGGCCTTGCCAGTGCTTTCCAGACAGGGACTGAAATGCTCCTACCTTCTGAATCTGCACAGCGAGCTCCCGAGTTGGTGCCAGGATCAAGGCTTGGGTCTCACGAACCTGGTTAAAACACGGAATCACTTCCAAGTTAATCACAGGCCAGAAAGCCAAGCGTGCAAGAGATGATGGATCTGACAGAATCAAAGCTGTGAAATGTCACATCACAGAATTGTGCTAAAAAAAAAAAGTGTGTATGTTTCTTGCAAAATAGAACCAGATTTCAAGTTCAGTTCTGTGTGTTTGGTTCAGATAAACACCTTGCATTGCTCAAGGACTCCAAGACAAAGTTTTGAAGTGTCAGCTGGAAAAGTATCATGAGCACTTTACAGAAATAAAGCAAAAGCTGTCCTTTCCACTTAGAACGTGCAACCTTAATTTTTATGTCCCCAGACAGTGACAGATAAGTAACAAACCCAGCCCATTGAAAACCACCCTTTTCTTCAACTGCATCTACACATCCAAGTTATACCCCAAACCTATCGGATGGACACGATGCCCCTGAGCAGAACAAAAGCAAACAGGTGTCAGTCAAAAATCTAGGTTTGGTTCTGTGCATGTCTGAATGTGTGGCAGTTGTTCAGATATGATGTTACTAAGACTATCTGAAGACAATTCTGCTTGCTGAGAGATTAACTTAGCCCTAACAGGTGAGAGCAGTCAGCTGTTAAAGACAACTTTAAGATTACAAGACATCACCTGAACTTATTTTGCCAGACTGGCTTTTAACGGTGAAATTTTTACAGAGTCTGGTGATGTTCTCAGAATTCTGTCTGAGGGTCACTGCCCATAATTAAAAGATTTCAGTGTAAAGCTTCATTTATTCACCCTTATGATGAAGACCAGTGATTTAGTAAAAATTATTTTTAGCATCTGCTGCTATGAGATTACCTGTATATCCAGGCATTGTAGGACAGATATGGAGAATGTTGCTGTCTTCCCTGTTCCCGACTGTGACCTGAGAAACAGATATTCGGTGAATACTCTGATGTCTGGACAAAAAGCACAGGCAATTTCAACACATTCCTCCCTTCTGCTCTCTCCCACCCCTCCTTTGCAAAGAACTCAACAGTGCCAACAAAGGCTTGTTATGATCAGAGCGTGATCTGCTGTCAAGCAGCTTTGAGAACTAAAATATCAGGGACAGAACACTCCAGGGTCCCCAGCTCTGGCACATTTACTCCTTATAAGACCAGCATTTTAGCCTTCTGCCATATCCCACACATACACTTTGTTTCAAGTAAATGACAGATAAGCCAATGTAATTTGCAAGGTTAGTAATTTGCACTAGTGACCAAGAAAGGATTTTTTCAGTGGGATGAATATCCTTCTTTGTCTCTAAGACGTGTTTTTTTTACAGTGACTAAACCTAATGAACTTTGTCATTAACCACTGTTAGGATCACAACAAGTTAGGCGATTTCACTGTTTTGCTTGAACGCAGAATAGTTTGAATTGGAAGGGAATTAAAAAACATCCAGCTCCATCCCCCCTGGCCATGAGCACTTCCAGGGATGGGGTATCCACAGCTGCTTTGGCCAACCTGTCCCGGTGTCCCACCAATTTCAGGTCATTCCCCACACGCTGCCCAGGCCCACGGGTGGCCGATCCCGCTCCCGGCCTCAAGGCAGGGAATGTGACGGACATCTCCCGCCCCGCCCGCACTCACTGTGCGATCACGTCCCTGCCCTTGATGATCTGCTTGATGGCTCGCTGCTGGATGGCCGACGGCTTCTCGAACCCTGCGAGGGCCAAGGGACACCGTCAGGGCAGGCCCCACCACCGGCCGGCGGCGGCCGCACGGCGCAGGCGCGACAGGGCCCACATCCGGGCGGTGCCGCGGCCCACGAGCCGCTCCCTGGCCTCGGCTTCTCCCCCCGGCCCGCGTCCCTTGCCCCCCGGCCCTTCCCCCGCCGTCTCAGCAGCCCACCGTAGGCGTAGATGCCGCGCAGCAGGTCCTCCCGCAGGCCCATGGTGTCGAAGGTGGGCGTCACGTCCACCTCCTCGCTCGTCTCGAACTCCACCTTGGTCATGTCCTCCTCCTTCATGAGGCGCTTCCGCGCCGAGCCGCCCGCCGACCCCGCGGACCCCGCCATGGCTGCGCCGCCGCCGCCGCACAACGCCCGCCGCGCGCGCCCTGCGCCGCCACTGCGCCTGCGCGGGGGGCGGGCGGGAGCGGTGCGCGCGTGCGCGGGTGAGGCCCCGGGGCGCGCGCACGGAACCACGGGACGGCCGGGGCTTGGAAGGGCCCTCTGGAGATCACCCAGCCCAGCTGGGTCTGGAATGTCTCCGGAGAGGGAGAATCCATGGCCTCCCTTCCCTGGGCAGCCCGTTCCAGTTCCCTGCCGGGCTCAGTGCAACGAAGTTGTTCCTCGTGCTGAGGGGGAACTTTGTGGTTAATTTAGGGACATTGCTCCTCGTCCTGTCGCTGGGCGCCACTGGAAAGAGCCTGGCCCCGTCCTCTTAGCACCTGCCTTTGGGATATTTGTTTGTACTGATGAGATCTCAGTCTTCTCCAGGCTAAACAGGCCCAGCCCCCTCAACGTTTCCTCGTGAGAGGTGCTCCAGTCCCACCATCAGCCCTCCGCTGGACTGTCTTCAGGAGCTCCTTGTCTTTCTTGCCCTGAGGAGCCCAGAACTGGGCACAACACTCCAGAAACAGCTGAGTAAAGAGGCAGGATCAGCTCCCTCCGCCTCCTGCCGCTGCTCTTCCCAGTTCACCTCAGGAAATGCATCCAGGGAGCTGGACAGGGATGTTTGCGCATGCGCGGAGCCTCAGGGCCGGGGGAGGCGGGGCCGAACCGAGCCGAGCGGGGCCGAACCGAGCCGAGCGGGGCCGAACCGAGCCGAGCGGGCCGGTGCTGCAGGCTCTGCATCCCCGCGGATGCATAACCCCGTTTTCCACGGAATGTCAGTGTCTCTTAAGCAGCCAAGACTCCTCAGCTCCGTGGGATGAGGTTTGTAAAAAGGATCCTGGTTGATGGCCTCGATCTGCAGCTCCGTGAGGTGATTTCCACTAACCTTGGGTAAGGAACAATGAAGTCATTGCCAATCCCCTACACAGGACAGCTCGTTTGCGTTTGATATTTTAAAACGATCCTGTAGGGAATCCAGACACGAGTCCAGACATAGCACACTTAGGTTTCTCCATCCATTTTTCCGTGCCAACCCCCAACCCAAAAAAAAAAGAAAAAAAGAGGCTAAAGAACAAGATTTACTGAGAACAACTCAGGCCAAGACACTTTTCACAAGTAGGTGATTCCATAGACATCAGTCAGGCACCTGAGGGTGCAGAGTTCTTTACTTGCAAGACAATTTTTAGATATGGTCTGTACTGCAGCCACTGTATGGTGACTGAAAGGCTCCCTTGGGAACTGCCTGAGTAGGAGCAATCTCTGCCTAGGTGGTGTGGGATTGTAATATAGAGCAAAAGTGGGCTGTTGATCCTCCTCTTTTTATGGGAGGGAGAGGGATGCACATCCTAGCAGAGGAAAAACATCACCCCAATTCTAATATTGACTTCACAAGTGCTGATATCTCTGCACCTCACATGTGACACAGATTGTCCTTTTTTTAGTGCATGAACAAGCTTCATCCATGTTTTCTTTGTTTGATGTAAAATACTTCTTCTTAATGCTGTCAGTTCCAAGGACTGGCAAGGCATTTGCTTTTGAAGTAACACCACGTTAATGTGCTAGGGTGGAAGTGAATCTCTGCTTAGCCTGACAGCCAGGACAGCTCAATCCAGGATCTTGAGCGAAAAAAAAGAAAAAATAATAGTTTCAGGTTCTTTTGGCCTAAGACTTTAAGGTAACAGCTCTCTGAAGACAGGCTTCTTCCAAACGTGGTACAAAATTGCTGCTTTTGGAAATGTTGTGAGTTCTGTATCAGCTTTCTGGGTTTTGCTCTTTGGTCAAACAAATTGCTGGCTGTCAGTCCCCATCTGACAGTTTTCACAAGACCCTGCAAGTGGTATAAGTTTCAGTGCTGCTCTTTCTGTGGATACTGGGTGTTGATGGGTCAGCAGGGAGACCAAACTGAATGGTCTGTGCCTGCAAACCTGCTCTTGTAGCTGCCATGAGGGCAGCTCAGGACATCTCCCTCCTGGCAACCTGGGGTTGTTTCTAAAATGTTCTTCAGTATTGATTTGGTCTCTGAAGTTTCCCTTTGGTATTGAAAACCATCAGTTTTCTTCTGCCAGTTTGGCCCCACTGACTTCTTCTTGCTGTTTTTTTCCTCAGCACCAGAGGCGAAAGCTCAGGGAAGCAGCCTGTCCTTCTGGCCAAGCTACCCAGGCCCTCATCACTTCTCTAGCATCAGCAAAGACACTGGATTTGTCAGGCCTCAACTTGTCATTGCCACCTGAGCCCTGGAAGAGCTTAGAGGAGATCCTCAGGGTCCCTGGTTCTGCCTGGATCGGTGGTGGTGGGTGAAGTGAGCAACTACCTGGGGTGGGAGAAGTGCTTGCAGCCAGGTTCAGGATGGGTTTGGTCACCCCAAGGCTGGTGGAATGCAGGGGTGGGTGTGATCTAGGCTTATCTGTGAGATGGGGGTGGTATCCCTGAAAGGCTGGAGGGTGGTCAGATGTTGTAACAACAGAAATCCTGTTGGAACTGTTAGAAGAGGGAGGAAGTGATCTCAATCTGTGCTGTTCCTGCAGAGGTGGAGCAGCAGCACGGAGGAGGAGGTGAGCCTGGCAGGGCTGCCTGCAGCTTTGGACAGCACACTCATGGTCCCCAGGAGTGGCCTCCAGCATGCAGCTGGCACCTCCTACAGATACAAACTGCAGTGCCTCTGGTAAGGGCACTGCTCCCTGTGAGGAGGGACCTTCTGTGGGCTGTCTGAGGGGGTCTCTTCATGCCCTGCTTGCTGTGTCTGCAGGACCCAGGTGAGGCAGATCGCCAGGGAGAGGGACAAGGCGAGGCTGAGTTTGGAGAAGGCAGAGAGACAGTGCCTGCAGCTGGGCAGGGAGCTGGATGAGCAGTACATCGCCCTTGAGCACACTCAGAGCAAGCTCAGGTAGGAGGGGTTCTTTTGGTGGGGTGGAGAAAATGTGCTTACACATCCGGGTGTCCCTTTTGAAACTCCCACTTGTTTTGCCAATGTGTCAGTGGCAGGAAAATCCTTGAAGACCCTTCTCCACTCCCTATGGTCTCAGCATCATCCCAACCAAGCTCTCATCTGCTTTGTGCATGGTGGGAGGGGGGTGTCTGTACCTTGTGGCCATCCAGGATCATTCTCTGTCTGTCCCAACTGTGCTGCTTTTTTCCCCCAGGAATTTTCAGGCAGAAATAGAGGCAAAAGAGCTACTTTTGCAGCAAGCAGTGAGTCACCAGGCGAAGCTGGAGGCTGATACACGGCTCCTCCAGGGCAAAGAGGCCAACCTGCAAGGGAGATTGAACCATGTGATGAATGTAAGTAAAATTGCCTTGGATGAAACATCTTCACTCTTTCAGAGGTGGCAAAGCAGAGGTGGCGACAAATATAGATCGTTCATTTTGCTCTAGTTGGAAAGGAGTTTTATGCAGAAGAATCATCAGCCACATCCATACAGTTGTTATATACATTAAACACAGAGCTTGTTACCTTGCCATGCCATTACTAACCTGCTGTGTTGTCTGTTGGCAGTGGTTTGGCCCTTGGTAACACCTGAAAACACAATGACCAAAGCTAAAATTGTGCCAGGGACCATGTCAAAAGCAGAGATGATGGTGTCTGCATGCCTGGGATTACCCCAGTTCTGTTCAGTGTAGGAGTACAGATGGAGATAGCTCAGGACTTGCTGCCTTTGTTAGCTGTGAGGGAAACCACAGTTTTGGGGAGCAAAGGTAGCGATGGTCCTGTGAGGCTGTGTCTAGCTCTTATTGTGCAAAATTAGTGCAAAGGTCTCCTGTCCTTTGGAGAGATGAGCCCATGTGGTATCGGCAATGTGCTGTCCTCTTGTGGTTTAGGAATGGTGCTTCCCAATTTAGTTCTCCTACCAAGACTCTCCAAATCACACTTGCTCACTCCCTCTCCCTGCTTTTCAGTGGCTGGAGAGAATTGGAGGCACAGAAGGCAAAGACCATGGGTTGAGATAAGAGCAATTTACTGCAAACAGCAGTGAGATAAGAAACAACCAGTGACAGCAACAATATAAACAAGAGTGTACAAAAGAGAGGATGATTTACATGCAAAATGCTCATTGCAGAGCAGCCACGTTTTCTCTGGAAGGCATGTCCTTCTCCCTGGAATTGAGAGAGAGTGCCTTCCCTCTGTCCCCAGCAATGACTGAGGTGGTACAGAATAACATCTGGGCCTTAGCCACATCTCCTCCTGGTTACTACAAAAATCAACCCTGTCATGGCCAAAACCAGGCCATGTCCAGGGTCTCCTGGGAGCTGTGCTGTGTTTGGTGTGCTGATATGCCAGTTGTTTAACAGCTCCCTGCTGAGGACCTGTGGCTGATAAACCCATCCTGCCATGACAGGACCCACTGCATCAGGGAAATCTCCATTTTCTCTGCAGGAGAACACACAGCTACAAAACAAGGTCACAGAGATGGCAGAGAAACTGTCAGCCTCTGAGGAACTGGTGTTGGAGCTGCAAAAAGAACTCAACCACATTGTGAAGGATAAGGTAACCTTTCTCTGTTCCAGTCAAATAAGAACTTCTCAGGAATTCATAAAAAAATTGATCTTGCATATTTTGTATCAGTCACTATGGTCTCCCCCTTTGTGAGCTTGCCTGCACATTAATGACAACCTGGAAGTTGGGGGAAAAAAAAAAAGGTGTGAGGAAAGTTTCCAGTTGTAGAGAATTCTACAAATCTGCAGTCTTCAAGAGAAAACTTTATATAAAGTTCGGTTTCCAGAAAAGTTTTATTTTTCACTACTATTGAAGTAAAGGGTTTGTTTTAGTATCTTCCACTCCTAAAATGAATCTGGGGAAGGAGGTGAGCCTGTGATCTTGTTAGCCAGGAAAGCCAGCCTGTAGTTTGGTGTCTTACATGTGGAGAAAAATGTTCTTCCTCCTCTTTCTGACCCATCCCTCAGGTGATGGGCCCCTTAGGGATAAATGTATGGGTGTAGCACCATGACCCCAGTGATTTAATAGAGCTTTAGACTCTCCATTTGGAGATGATTTTCTTGATGAGAAGTGTTTCCTTGTGCAGCTGGAGCAGGGGGAGCCTCACAGCCCAGAGTTCCTGAAGCAGAGCGAGCGTTTTGCTGAGATTGTGCTGGAGTACGAGCGGCAGTGCCAGGTATGTGCGGGTGGCGCTGCTGGTGTGACAGTGCTGCTCTCTGCTGCACATGTTGGGCACTTTGGCTTGAGGGAGTGGAAACAGGCAGACCTGATCACAGGGCAGAGGGATCCCTCCTACCTTGCTCACAGTCCTGTCACCTCACTCCTGAAACCCTCCATGGGTTGTTTGCCTTGCTAGAATTTTGGCAGGAGAGAGAGTAGGGGTGGATCATAAATTCCTTCCTGCCTGTAGCCATGGACTGTTTTGTTAGGGAGCCATGTACCTCTGTTGTTAAGGTCAGACCACCCTGGGCTCTGTTGGATTTCTTCTTGAGCACAAGGAGAAAGCTGTTCTCCTAATTTGGAAACCGTATTAACAGCTAAAGTTTTCTATCTTTTTGTTTTTCCCTTCCTTTCCCTTGCTCCCACTTTAAAAAAACCCTAAAAAACTTGTTGCTGTTGAACTCTGCTAGAGAGTCAAGGTAAGCCAGTCCAGATATCTGGTGTGTGTGTGTGGTCCAAGAATTGGTGCTGTGTGTATTGTATCTCCTGCAGGGTGCTGTGCTCCTTCCCAGAGCTTGGGGCTTTCTGGGGCATGAGCACAACCTCTGTTTCCCTTCTCCCATTTTTAACTTGTATATCTTTAACTTTTGATGGGTGCTCTGTTCTTTGAGTCCTGTGCTTGCCACATTGCCCATTTGTTCCCAGATGCTGTCTGTGGCTGGGGAGCACCCCTGAGCAGGGACTGTGACAGTCACAGCCCCTCAGCAAGGGCTGAAATGCAGACTTTCAGCAAAGCCATCCTGTGGATGCATCAGGCAGCACCTCTCCAAGCTGTAATTAAAGGCGAACATTCTGAAGCACTATCCAGTGCAGCATTGCTCCAGATGGCACCAGAGGGTTGAATATGCTTGGTGCTGCAATTTTTTTGTCCATTGAGCAGCCCCAGAGCTGTCCATGAGAATGCTGATGGGTGGGAAGGTTTGACCTTCAGGCTTCACCTGCCGCTGTTGAAGGCACCCAGTTGGGTTTATCCTTTGCCTTTGTTGAATGCTCTCAGCCCCTCTTTCCTGTTTAGAATGGAGATGAAACAAACTGGGTTTGCATTTGTCTACATCTGCTCAGTAATATTTATTAATTGGAAGTGTCCTAGTTCATAGTCTCTTGCAGAAAAAATCAGTTTTCTGGGCGGCAGGATAAGGGATGTAATTGGATGTCTGCTCATAGTGGGCAGTCCAGAAGGCAGGAGGCCTTATATGCTGTTGCTACCAGTGCAGGATGGAGGATGTGAAGTGAAGCAAGCAGCTGCCCATCTCCAGACACCTCCATGGAAGTGGCTCTTTGCACTGGTGTGGTGTGGTGGCTCATTGCTTGGTGTTCAGCTCTGGGACTCCTTACTGATGGAGATGGGATAAACTCCTGTACTGGCCTTGTGGTGTCTCTGGCACCAGGAGACCAGCAGGACCTGCCTCGTGCTGTGCTTCCCATGGTATCAGCACCTTCTTACCTTGTTTTATTCCTTCTGCAACCTGGGAATGTTGCCTCCCAGAGGCCTGTGGGCCTTGCTTCACTGTGAATCCTGCTGGTTGCCTTGTGTGCATAGAGTGGTGCTTGTTGGCCAGCCCGTGTGCCCACAAGAGAGTCTTGAGGATGTAAGCACAAACCTCTGGGCTCATGCTGAGATCATGGTATTTCCTCTGTGTTGGATTCTACCGATGGTTATTTAGGTCAGGAGGGTCTCAGGAGGCCCAGCCCCCTGAGGTGTCTGCAGACCCCCTGGTTTTGTGTGCTTTTGCATTCAGGGGCTGTTGCTTTGTGCTTTACAGTGTGTAATGATGGTCTTGGAAATCTGGGGTTATATTTCTTCTTTGGCTCCTCCAAATTCTCTCATGTTTGCCTTTGTTTGGGAAAGCTGTGCTGGGGCAGGGGGAGGCCCTTCCTGCTCTTGGTGCTGCAGGAGCTTTGTCCTGTGTCCTGAGCAGTGTTTGTTTCAGGTGCTGTACGACCAGAATGGAGCGCTGAGAAGGGAGCTGCAAAGGCTGCGCCTCCAGCTGCAGGAGGGCAGGGCTAAGGGAGGGCTGCCAGCAGCAGGTAACGTGCAGAAGGGCTCAGTGCCTGTCCTCTCAGCAAGAACAAAGTTCCCTCTGGATCCAAGTTTGCATGGGGGTGTGGGGAGGCCTGTTGTGCCTGAACTACTGCTGCCAGTTCTGGTACTGGGCAGCCATGGGAGGGAAGGAGAAGATGGGTGGTGAGAAGGAGGGAGATGAAGGAGAGGAGGGTTTTCCAACTTGAGAGCTGGTGATGGAACCTGTGAACTAGGCAGTTATGGGTGAACTGGCAGATTTTCAGTGTTGAAGATGTTGAGGAAACAATGCAGTAAGGAGGAAGTAGGCCCAAACTGTGGGTTGGAAAATTCCAGTTAAGTATTAGATAAAAGCTTCTGGCCAAGAGGGCTGATGCAGCCCTGGGACTAGTTGCCAGATAGATGGGGAATGTCCATCTTTTGGGGTTGTATGGACTGGATGAAGCTGCAGCCATCCTGATCAGTCCTGTCTTGTAGGCCTACCCTCACAGGGCTCCTCTCTGCCATCATACCCCTCTCCAAGCCTTCATGTTCCTAATTCTGTGTTTACAGAAATGTCACTCCCAGTGGAGCAGCTCCAAGAACAGCTGCAGGACCTGAAGGTGCAGCTGGAAACCGAGGTGAGTAGCACGGGGGGAGATGTCCTGACTGCTTGGTAAGCACAACTGCTACAGCGTGACTGATGAGACATCTGGTCCGGCAGGGTTGCTGGAGAGAGTGTTCAGGCTGGGGAGCAGCATGGTACCTCATCACTCATGTGGGGTTATTTCATGTGCTTCTCCAGCCTATCTTAACTGGTAGGAGGATTTGGAGCCTTTGCCTCACTATCTGGCCAAAGGCTCTGTGGAAATCACTGTCACCTCGTGAAGTGTTTGTGTAGATCTTGTGAGGAACCAGAGATCACTCAGCATTGCTGTCACAGTAAAAGCAGGGACAGGACCAAGAGAAGAAGCAGCCAGGTGTCTCCTGATGGTAGGGGCTGTATCAGAGCCCTGTCACCCTTGGCTTGCAGCACACTTCTAACCTGCTTGCCTGAGATGAGAATGTGAGCCCACTGTCCTCCTCTTCAGACAGCCATGAATGCTCCTGGGAGAGGCCTCAGTTTCCACATTTACTCCTTTTGCTGCTGAACTGAGAGGTCAGTGATGCTTGCTGGGTTTTGTGTTGCAGCACTGCAAGAGAAAATCCTAAATTGCCACACTGGTGACAGAACAGTTCAAGGAGCACAAAACTGCCTACAGCTCTTCTGTCTGCCTTTGTGCACATCAGATCCTGCAATTTCTGTTCACAGGGGAGTTGTGGGGAGCAGCAGCTTCTCACCACCACATCCTGACAAGGAACCACCCTGCAATAGAGGAAGGGATATGAGGAGCGGTGGCAGATGATGCCCTGGCCTCTCCCTTCTCCTCTTTGGGGTTCCTTGCAAACAAGAATGGGGAGAACTGTGCTGCTTGCTGGTAAGAAATGGGACCCACTGGTTTCTGCTTGTTAGAGACTGCTGCACGAAACTGACTGTTGCCCTAAGTTCAGCAGGGACCAGAATGCCTGAAGAGAGTCCCCTGTTGAGTGGGACCAATGGATCAATCTCAATTGGAGCTATTGGAGGAGAGGAAAGCTCTCAGGAGTGTGGTGCTAATATCCCAATCCCATCTCCTTCCAACAGATAAACTATTAATGAGGAAGAAATAGAGTATATGTGGAAAAACTTTGAGAGGGAGAGGAAGGACAGTGAGGAAAGCTCCAAGGCTGAGATGTGCAAGATGGAAGACCAGAACAGAGATCTTGAAGAAACAGTTGCAAATCCAGGGTAGCAGCTGGACCAGGACAGAGAAGAAATAAAGAGGCAGCACAGGGACAAACTGAGCCTGAGGTCTGGCACTGTTCTCTTTCTGGGGCTAAGGATGAGATTAGGAGTGTGTCTCCTGCTCACACCAGCATAGTCTGGGCTGATTTTTCACAGGGCTGGAGAGCTGTTTTAATCTGGAAGAAAATCTGGGCAGAATTGCAGGGCTGCAGTTGTTTGAAGTGAAACATCTAAACTCCCCTTAAGTGAGTGCTTTTATTTCAAGACTCTAAGTTTCTCTGAATGTTCTACAAGGTTGTGTTAGCGGCAGTGCCCACCAAAGACTGTACCTTAAAATAGTGAGAGTTATAAAAGGGCCTTCGTTAGTGTTTTCTTATTACATCTTTCTTGGTCCTTCAGCAAACCTGCTTCTCTACTTGCTAAATAATCACAGCTTGCCATCTTAAAAGCAGTGAAAAATGTCTTAAAGTTCTTCATATAGGTAAAAGAGACTGGCTTGTGAAAGAGAGAGGTTGTCACTGAAAAACTGTTTATCCTCTCTTCCTCCTGCCTCTGCCCTGCTGTGTCTCCCTCAGGAGCAGTGTTCCCCTTGGCAATATGCAAGCAGAGGATTTTGCTAGGTCATTATCCCTGTTTTAGGGCTGAGATATGGGGTAGGTGAAGGAGAAAGAAAGTGATTTGGCTGAAGTCTGTGGCAGAAGGGGAAACAAACCTAAATAACAGGAATACAAGGCATTTAAACTATTTTATCTCTGGTGAATGGCAGATGGACTGATTGCAGTGGTGAGCTTTTAGAGGTGCTGGAAAAAATGTGATGGGCGTGAATCTGAGAAAGCAAAAGGTATGTGAACTTTCAGTGAAGTTTAACAAATTGCCTTGACTTTGCAACATAAAATCCCCTTTGTATTGCATCTCCAGCAAATATACATTCAGAGGCTGGCTGAGCTTTTCAAGCTGTGATATCAAACCCAGGTCAGGAAAATTGTTTTATCTTTAGGAAAGATGCGGAGGTTGAGCATAACCAAGAGCTGTCATGGAATGAATGCCAGCATGAGGACAGCTGTGAGGCTTTATTGGAGCAACATTGGTGTGACAGGAGGTGATTTCCCAACAATAAAGGCTCCAAGGTGAGGCCTACAAGAGCAGGGCACCCATGAGAAGCAGTAGTGGAAGCAGAAGAAAAAAAGACAAGTCTCTGTGGAAGCAGAGGCAGCTCAAGTTGTAAGAAAAGGTTAAATGATGAATAAGCCAAGCCATGTAAAAGGCTGGCTGCTTGGTATAAAAAGATTAAAAAGGCAGCAGGGTGAAATGGGAGTAATGCAGAGAGAGTGAAGCTGCAGGCTCTGGTGTTAAAAGGGACAAGGTGTCTGGAGAGCTGTCCTCTGGGGGAAAAGGAGCTGATCCCCTAAGGCTCAGTTGAGCAGGTGGACCAAAATCTTCTGTTGCCACTTCAACACTGAAGGAAGGACACACCAGTGCAGGCAGTGCAGATGTAACAAATGGCTTGTCAATCTAGAAGCTGGAGCTGAAGGGAAAGCATTTCAGGGAGAAATGGAATCTTGATAGACAAGGGGATGTTCTTGGGAAGGAGGCAGAGACAGCACAGTTACATGCCTCCAAAGAGCAGACATCTCAAGACACAGACCTGACCTGCAGGGCAAGAAGAGAAGGCAGAAAGCTCTGGGAGACAGAGTGGTGTAACAGCATAGAGGGAAACCTGGCATTCAGGCTGTCAAAACAGAGCTGAAGAGGAACAGGTTGACACAGGAGCTGATGCAGCTCAAAGATGTCGTGCAGTAGTTGGAAAATTAACCCAGAGCTCAAGAGAGTGTCAGGTTCGAGTGCAAAGGTAATTTGAAGAACTAACATGCTGCTGCAAACAAAAAGCAGATGCCTTGTGAGACACAAGGCTGATGAACGCTGTAACAGCAGCTATGTTCTCTTGGATGTTCTAACAGCAGCTTTGTTCTGCTGCTCACATGAAATGGGCAATGAACTAGGATACTTCCAATTAATAAATATTACTGAGCACATGTAGATAAATGCAAAAGCTATGTTGTGTATTTATTGACTGTGGGAGCGTGGTCTGGGAGCTGGGATGTGCTCCTGTGGTTGTGGCTGACTACCCATTCATCTCCTCTTCCTTGTACATGGATCTTGGAGATGCCACAGGAAGCACAGCATGTGAATTCTGATGTAAAACTTGGAAAGCAGCTGCACTGAGGTGAGCAAACACCACACAGCCCTTGGACTGTCCTTGTGCTTCAAGAAGAGAGGAAGAACTTCCTCACACAGCTCCTTTGTGTGCCACAGGCACACAGACTGCAATGCTGTCCTCCCTGCCAGGATGGATGGTCTGTTATCCTGCACCTTCCCTTGAAGAATTTGGGTCCTATAAGGCTCTGGTGTTTAGCAGCAGTTATAGGATAGGACTGTCTAACACAGGACTAAGCTTCATTCCCACAAGTGCCGGTGTTCATGGCCTCCTGGGAGACTGGCAGTACCAAGAGAAGTGGAAGGATAATGAGGCCACCTCAGATTTGGGGTCACAGCTGTTGTGTCCAGCACTGTAAAATCACAGAGGTCTCACAAACAAGCTGGTTTTTCCAGATCTGGCTTCATTGCAGTTGAGGGGTTGGCCTCACCACCTGTTAGCCTGTAATGAAGTCTTGGTGTGTTTTGATGAATCAAATCACTTTGTATCCACAGGACTGCAAAATAATTTTAGCCACCTGGAAGCCACATAAATTCAGTCTGATGCTCTTTGTCCTTATTCCCCTTTATTTCCATTCCCTTGAAGACCTCCTCCTTCTCTAGTGTTGTCTCTTGATTGTCCCCACATGTTTTGCCTGAGTCATGGGAAGGGTTTTTTGTTTTTAGTCCTTGCTCTCTTTGGGAACCAGATTGGAAAAGGTCAGGGAGCCAGCTCAGAATGCCAGAGTAAACAGGGGATGTGCATGGTTTTCTCACTCTGCTGTCTCCCTGTGCTGGCTGCTGGAGAACAGCTTGCTGAAGAGTTAACATGGGATGGATTTCTTCCTTAGGAAGCTTTAGGTAGGTGCTGGGGTCACCCACTGAGCCATAAATCTGGGGAGACACATGTTTCTGGTGTGGATGATCCCAATCTGCTAAAATGTCCCTCCCATTGTTCTTCATCCCTTGATTTTTAGGCCTCTGACAGCGTTGCAGGACTTTGGATGTCCCCAGGCTGTCTGCCCTGGGCTGGGCTGAGTCACCTGCTGGGGCAGACACCCGACTCACTCCTGAATCAATTCAGGGCCATATCTGTTTTGGCTTGGCTTTGCTTCCTGTTGCGGGCCAAAACCAGATGTGTGACTACCCAAAACAGGGCTCTCCTCTGTGGGGCTGTGCTTTGCTGCTCTCTTGTCTTGAAGCTGATCCTACCCCTCTTCCCAGCAGGAAAAACAGGAGTGAATTGGGTAGAGAGAAGGTGGAGGAGCTGGCTGAAATAGCAGAGTTAACAGCATTGGTAAGAAGCCACTAACCCCAACTGCCAGGCTCTTGGCTCAAGGATTTAGGGCAAAAGCTGCACGTGTTCAGAGAGGAGAACAAAAATGTTAGTTTTGAACATTCAAACCCAGTCTTGCTTTGAGGAACCAGCTTCATCTTATAACTTGTAAAGCAGTGAGAACTTGTGTGACAAAAGCCACTGAGAGTCTTACAGAAGGGGAAAGTCTTTAATGGTTTTCATTACTTTCACTCTTTCTCCCTGAGATTTCTCTCACTCCCAGTCTCAAACCCACATGGCCCAGTCAGTCTTTGTTGCATGTGTTCCCACTCCAAGCTACTTGTGCATGATTTGTTTTTTTTTTTTTCCCCCTCAACCTTTTCCAGAGTGAGAAAGGCAAGGAGGAGCTCTCTCACCCCAATGTCAAGAGGCATCAGCTGGGCTGTGAACCCCCTGAGCACAAGGCTGGTCACAGTGATGGCCCTGGCACTGCCCAGCTGCAGAGCCAGAGGCTTCTGGAGGCTGAGTGGCTTGGAGGAGCAGAGATTGCTGCAAGGCTGGAGCACCACCAGAGGCATGCAGCATGTTGGATGGAGATGGAGCTGCTCCAACAGCAGCTCCAGGCCTCACAGGAAAAGGTGGGTGTCCTTCATTCGGTGGCAGACTGCTGAGTGGTCTCTGATGTTGGTATTGTCCTGCCTGGACACCTTCTCCAGCCAGAAAAAAGTTGTCCTCTTCCTCTTTGTGGGGAGAAAGGATTCTCCCTCCTGCTCAGATGTGGCTGAAGCCAGTTCAGGTGCAGATGGGAACAGGTCCTTACTTGCAGCTGCCCCTGGACTATTCCCTCTGTCCTTGTTCTGTGCAGGCTGGCTGGGCGGAGGGGGTGGAGGCTGAGTGGAGGTGGCTCACACAGGGGTGTCAGGAGCTGTGGTTCCCCATGGCTCAGCTGACAGAGGAGCTGGAAGAGTGGTAGAATTGGATAAGGGGTTGGGATGACAGCAGCCAGACAAGGCTTGTTGAGGGATGGGAAATGAGGTGGTCAGAGCAGAGTAACTTGGATCACTAGGACAAAGAGAGGAAAGCCAATGTGAGAAATCTTCCAATGTGTTAATATCCCTCTCCTGCATTCTACCCTGGGGACTGGCTTTCCAAAGCACAGCTTACCCATGCCAGCAATTCCCTAGTGCAAAGTTGGGCCAGACCTGCTTCCCAGTACCAGGTTTGCCCTTTGCTGGAGACAGGAAGCAGAGGACATGTAGTACAGGACATTTAGTACATCATAGCTAGCCTGGGATGTATCCAAGAACCCAGGTGAGCAGCCCCCTCTGTCTCTTGCTCTCGTGGCCCTTGGTGCTGGGATTTCCAGCCAGAGAATCCCTCCAGCAACTCCTGCTCCTCACTACTGAGCAAGGGGAGCATCTCTCAGCAAAGGGGCTCTGTTTCTCCTCCTGCAGCTCTCAATTCCTTGCTTTGCAGGCTGCCCAGTGAGCACCACTCCCATGGTCCTGCAGCTCTGCTGTGCCCATGCTGGGGGGAGAGCTGAGGGCATTATCTAACCTCTCCTCTCCCCCAAAACACAGCCTGGGTCTGCCCCGTTGTTGGCTCAAAGCTGTAACCAGCTGCCAACCTTTCTGTTACAGCTTTTGGAAGCCAAAGCAAGCCTGAGCCTGGCCCAGGCCCAGCACACTCTGCAGTTGCAGCAGGCCAAGGCCCAGATAAACAACATGGTGCCGAAGAAGCAGTTTGAGCAGCTGCAAAACACCTTGAGAGAGGAACAGTGCAAGACTCAGCAGCTCCAGGAAAGCCTCCAGCAGCAGGCTGAGCAAACATGCAGGCAGCTGGTCAGGACCCAGGTAAGCAGGGAATTGCAGGAGCTCTGTCAAGGGTACTGTGAAGGGGACACTGCTGGCCTGGCAACCTGGAAGGCAGCTGCGATTGAAGCCACCAGAGGTTTGGGTAGAAGATGCTAGATATAAAGAACCCACATGGAAAATGTGCCTTCCTTCAAATTCAGCTGCAACTTTTAATTCTTCATGAATCCTCCAGTCACCACCCTGCACTCAAAGAGGTGGATTTATCTCTAGGGCACTGAGCAACCAGGTCTTGAGTTTTTGTGAGTTTGTCTTCTGGGCAAAGATTGGGAAAATTATAACCTAAAGAATTATAATGAGCAGGCACAAGGACTGAATCCAAGGAGACTTTGTCTCTCCCTGAGCTTTCCTGGACATGGCTGGGAGAAGGGAGGCCAATGGCTTACTTTTATAGAAAATATTGCTGGAGATTCTGTGCCTTGTCTTAAAACTGGTTGGGTGCAGACCTAGGCAAGGTTGTACTGCTCTAGACATCTGTCCCACTGCTCTTTGTATCTGCACCTCTGATGAGTCCCCCCTGCTCTGCCTCAAGGAGTGTGAGGGTCCACGAAAAAGGGCCTTGGGGAAATGTACAGTCCAGGGTTGCCAGAAGCCAGGAGAGTGCTGGGAAACCCTAAAGACAGGCTTTCTTTCCCACTGCAGGAGGAACACGAGCAGCTGCTGCAGGCAGCTGTGGAGCAGGCAGAGGGGCTGGAACAGAGTCTGAGGAATGCTGAAGCTGTGCTGGCAGAGAGGGCAGCTCAGCTCAGAGATGCCCAGGTGAGTGCAAGAGGGGCTGGTGTTGTGTCTCCCTGCCCATCTGGTACCCCTGCATGGGATGCTGAACCTGAAGCCTCCTGTCCCTGCTTTAGGCCCAAATCTCCAGGAACAAACTATTGATTGAAGAGCTCCGTGGAGAGAACAGGAGGTTTGCAATGGCCCTGCAGGCTGCTGAGCTGAAGCAAAAGACCATGGAGGAGAAGAACCAGCTGTTGGAGGAACAAGCCTCAGCTCTGAAGCAGCTTATTGGAAAAATCACACCAGCATCTCTGAGTGGGTGATGGGACATGTGCAGTGGTCCTGGCTAGGGCTGGTCTGGTGCAGAATGGGAGGTATGGGTTGGGAAATCAGCCTTGTCCTCTCTGGTCTTGCCAGGATTTTCCTGTGCAGAAAATAGCAAATGGGGAGCCTAGAGTCCTTTTTGAAGAAATTGGTCCTGTGGATAGCTGAATTTTCCAACTGAAAGCAGCAGCCTTGGTGCCTTTCTGTGGCAGTGTGCTGTTTTGTCATGTCTGTCTCGGGGCAGCCATCTCACAGGATTTTCTTTGGCAGTGTTTGCTGGTGATGCAGGTGCTTGCTCTCTGCAGAAGGCTGATGTTGGAGCCACAGTTACATCTTGAAAGCCAGGGCAGAAGGGCTTGCAGGCCCCTGTGCCTGGCTCACTCCAAGCAGGAGAGCTGAATTGTGGCATTAAAATGTTGGTAATGTTTGTAATGTTACAGCACCTCCTGCCATCCCCAGACTGCTCTGTATTTCAGTAACCTTCCCCAATTGCTGCTGAACATTTATTCCCAACAGCTCCTCCTAAAGCCTGAGCCTAGGATCCAAAACCAACCAGATTGTTGCTTCTGCAGTGAGGACAGAGCAATGCTGTAATGCCCCAGGCATTTATCCTGTTCCTGCCTTCTTCCCCAGCTGTTTGCTTTTTTGGCTGCAGTCTGAGATGGGGGCTAAGCAAACCTCTAGTCTTACCTAGGGCTGTTTTTGTGAGTGCTTTCCCAGGCAAAGTGCAAGAGCTGAGCAGCTCCATTAGCAGAACCAGACAGAGAAAGCAGCTCTTCAGCCTTGCTCTGGTTTTGTGCTAACCAGAATCCTTAAAACCCTCTGCTCCCTTTCCCACCCCAACTCCAAACAGCCCATAGGCCCTGCCAGACACTGCTCTGGGATAAGGGATTCTTCAGAGGAACAGAGGCACAGACCAAGCACACTGGGAAAAACCCAGGCCCGTGACCCGGACTTCAATGATCATTCACACAGCACGTCAAGAAACACTTATGGGACTCTGATGAGGACTAAGCTTCATGTCTAATCCTGGAAAGAACCTTGTGCAGCCTTATCTGGCACTTGGAAGAACAGTTCCAGTGAGAGACTTAAATAACCATCACACTCACTGCAGGGTCAGGATGGGTTTGGCTGGAGAGGCAGATCAGAGTGCTGAATGAACATCACATTAACTCTTAAAAACTCAAGAGACTGAGGCTGAAGGAGTTCTTTATTTTGCAACTATGGAGTTTTCCTGGCTTCTAGAGCCCAGTCAGTCGGTGTCTTACTTCCGTGAACAAAGAACTACTCTTAAACAAACAAAAATGCATTCACAAACCTTGGTTGTACCTGTGGGGCTTGGATAATGCCCCCCTGCTATCCTGGATTGCCAGGATTGCTACATTACCAGCATGCACCCTTTGCTCATGAAGAGCTGTGGTTTTAAGGCTTCAAAGGCTGTTATGAGGAGTGGCAGGATGCCACTGCAGAAATACTGAGGTGTCTGAAGTCCTGCACGCACCAGAGCTCAGTCCCCATCGTGGGCAGGCCTCCAAGCAAGAGCTGTCCCTCCTGTCCTGCACCCTTAGGACAGGACGTGCTCCAGGATTCCTTGTCTGATCAACTGCTCGCATTTCCAGCGGGGTAAAAAGTGCTGCACACAAACACAGAAAAACCCTCCTTGAATTGGTTGGATTTGCTGCTGCCCACAACCAGCTCTGTTTGTTGTGCTGCACATCCAGCGCCTCATGGTACCAGATCAGGCAGAGCGGCACTCTGGACCATGCAGACAGCAAGGAGCTGTGTGTGCAGGGACTGGGACATGCTGCAAGGCCAGCATGAGCAGGGGGATGTCATGGGAGTGAAAGGGATGGAAGAGAACAGACCACACCCCTGCCACGGGTACCTGGCTGTTCTTCTTCAACAGGATGGTAGTGCCATCTTCAATCTCAAATTCCCCATGGTCTCTTAAACACCGCACCTGCCAAGTGGAAACACAGCTCTGGAAGAGTCCAATGAAAAAACACAACCACCCCCTGCAGGTAGCAGTCCTTAGCATGGGAACACGTTTCTGATTGCTGTAGTTAGTTAAGTTTCTGCAAAAAGCTGCAGAAACCTCTTACTGGGTAACTCACCCCAGCACAAACTAGAAATGCCATCTCGCAACATACTTTGTGCTCTCAGTAGGAGTAAAATGCTGGCAGGCAGAGTAAAACACAGAAACCTGTGAAAGCTTTGGAACTCTGAAAGGCTTTTCTTGATGAACTGACTTGGGATGGGGATGAAGCGCTCAGAAAGAGATAGTCAGGAAAATGTTTATTCATGGACAGAAACCAGAATCTTGCACTTACTTCAATGTACAGGCTTTTAGGAGGTTTGATGTCCTGTGTGAGGTCCAGGCCCTCCTCTCCTCCTACTGACCTCATGTAGGTAGCCAGAGACTTTTTGTACTGGTTGAACCACTCCACCTGTGGGCATTAACACAGCTGTACCCACAGACAATGAATACACACAGCTATTCACATTAAGATATGTTGAATGCCATGCCTATAGGAGGGGAAGACTACCCTATTTTGATTGTATTAAATAATCCATCAGGAGATTCCATATCAGAATATGTGGAAAGAGGAGAAGAGTTTGAAACGGGGCTGACTCACTTCCTCAGCTGACATGTGGAACTGGATGGTGTTGGGCAGAACGCTGCCGTACTCCCACCTCAGAGCTCGGATCCGTAGCAACCGGTCATACCTAGGGGAAGAAATGGGGCAAACCCACCGCCTCTGCTGAGGTGAACGCTGGCAACATCCCCAGAACACCCATATCCAGCAATCTAAATTTCTAAAGAGCAGGAGGAAGCAGAGCCTTCTCTTTGTGGTGATACCAGCAATGAACACAAGGAGAACCAGCTCCACAGGTGCCTGCGGAAAAGCCACCTGCCCGGGCCGAGAGTCCCAACACGCTGTCCCTGGGGACCGTGTGCCGGCAGGGCTGAGCCCAGGGGCGGCGCCCCCCGCACTCACAGGTACGCCAGGAGACAGCGCTGGTTCCGGAGCAGGCAGCAGTGCCGGAACCGGATGAGGAAAATCAGGTCCGTCCGTCCCGACTTCGCTTCGGACCTGGGGGATGAGGGGAAGGGGAAAGAGGAGTAGGAGGAGAGCTGCGGGCCGGGGAGCACCGCCCGTGCTGTGCGGGACGCCCAACTCACACGTCGGCCTGGTTCCGCTCGTACAGCGCCCGCATCTCCTCCAGCGCCTGCCGCATCTCCTCCGTCTGCAACAGCGGGCACAGTCAGTGGGAGCGGGCCGGCGGCGGGGCCCACCCCGGTGTTGCCGGTGCTCACCCGGAAGGGCGGGAGGTGCCCGCCGGCGGCGCGGTGCAGCTCCCGCACCAGCTCCAAGCCCCGCTCCGCCGCCATCGCGCCCGGCCGCGCGCGGGAAACCCGCCCGCGCACCAGCCAATGGCGGCAGGGGGGAGCCCGCCCGCAGCCAATGGGAAGCGAGGGGCGGGTCTCGTAAGCCCCGCCCCCCGCCGTTACCCGCGCAGAGTTGCCCGGGCGCGGGTGGCGGCGCGGCGGCTTCGGGGCCGCGACACTCCTGGGGTCACACCGAGAGCCCTCGGGGCTGAAGCAGATATTAGAATTTCTACCGCACACTTGTCTCTAGCGAGCCTGTTTCCCCCAGTCCTCGGGGTCGTTTGCGGGGTGCCGCACCGCGCTGCCTCTGGCAGCCTCCTCCCCCAGCCCTTCTCAGTGCATTTTCCCCTTCCGACAGCCTTCAAACCCGAAGCATGCCAAAACTAAAGGAAGAAAAAGAAAGATGGGTACGTTTGTGGATGGGAATTGTTTTAGCACTCGAAGCCCTGGATAGATTCAATAAGCCAGGACCACAGCTTGTCCCGCTCCAGGAGATTTTCCCCCTCTGGCCATGTGTTTCTTATGGTTACTAGGCACAAAAAGCGAGCAGCGTTTCCTGTGCAGCTGCGCTCCAGCCTGGAAGAGCGGGGAGAGCTCTCCCACCTCGGCGTGGTTCGTGTGCCCGAGCCGTCTGTGCTGCTTGTGCTCGGGGTGATGAGCTGAGCAGGGACCGTGTCTGACTCTGGCAAGAGCGTTTTAATGATCCCAGCCTTGGGGTTTTGCTTGGGGCTTTAGGCACGGGGGCGGAAATGTCCAGAAATGCTCCGGTCGTCTGCCAGCTGGCGATGGGCTTCTGGCGGTCTGTTCCCCAAAACGAGCTGTTTGTTTCCTGGCCGCAGTGCTGCTGCCAGATGTGTCGGCAGGGACCCCCACCCCTCGCTCCCACCCAGCCCGGCAGAGGTGCGGGGCCTGAGGAAGGCGCTGGGAAGTGCCTGGTGTTCCCGGAGCGCTGTCACCGGTCTGGCTCGTCATTAATCATCGCCTTCTGCCAGGATAATGGCCCAGCCGAGCCAGGAGAGATAACAGCAATAAACAGACATCCCGAATTGCCAATTGTCCCTGCTGAAAATTGGTTGTTGCCTCTTGCCGAGGGATGGAAATGCAGCTGAGCCTCGATTGAAAAATTCCGGGGAAACTGCCTTATCTTACTGCTTTGCCAGATTAAAAAAGCCTCATACATAAAAATAGACCAAATGAATGAAGAATTTACAAACATCTATATTTTGTGTTAGGAATTGTGTTAAAATTAGGAAAACAGCTGAAGACACTGATTTATACAACTGTGACTATTTCAGGCAATGAAGGTTTACATATCACAGTTTAACAAGATAAAAGATCTCCCACAAAATACATAGATGACAGACAACTCATCTGAATTTGACATAACACAGCATCAAGTACACATGTAATGTGATGAACAGTGCCAGGTCATTCCCCAGTTAGGTAACATACAACCTCTTGAATAAGGCAATTCAAATATAACTCTTAATTCAAATCACAACATACCCAGGCAGCATGCAGGGAAAAGTCATTTATTTTGTATATTGAAATGACACAACTTGCAACATGTTTCCATTTTATGTAGTTAGAGCAACAGGATATAAACCATTCAAATAATATATATATATATATTTATATATATCTCAAGTCAACAGTTGTCTTTACTGGAATAAAGATTATCTGTTTTTGGTAAAAATAAAACTATTTGAATTCACTAATTAACAAAATGCACAGTGATCAGAAACCCAATTCTTCTCACCATTGTCTTCCCTGGCTCGCTTGCGTTTCCCTGTGACGCAGCAGCTCCGGATTCAGAGAGCCCATTGCACAGAGAAACAGA